CCCCCCCCCCCCCCCCCCCCCCTTGTGGCGGGCCTGGGTGGGAACACCGGAAAAATCCCGGCTGACAATTGGACGTGTTTAAATCAAAGGGAACTATAGCCATTCCGTCATGAGCTGCGAGATCCATAAGAACTCATGCATGGCAGGGCTCATGACACAATGAATACAGTTCCTTTTGATTTAAATGCGTCCAATTAGAGGTGATTTTGGCCAGTTTGTGCCTCTCAAAAAACAACTAATATGGGTCGATCTCAACTTTAACGGCCCGATGTTCCCTGTCACGTTTTCAGTGCCAGTCCGCCCCTGGCTTCAATAATCATTGAAATTGATAGACAAAGCTATAGACAAAGAAGATAAAAAGGATATGGAGGGTTCCTATTGGTGGAAGCGGGTGGTTTGCAATGGACAAAGGAGTCCTTTGTCCATTGCAAACGTCCTTTGAAAGGACGTAGGTAATAGACTAACTAACGGCAACTCACGAGAGACCCGCGGGATAGTTAGTCCATCATTTACCCCCTAGTCTATGAGAACCACCCATTTCAACCAATAGTATCGCTCTATACTCCTTATGTCTTCTTTGTCTATAGCTTTGTCTATACATTTCAATAATCGGCCCGCTGTATGGTTTGTGTTATAAATGATCCAGATAGATCTCGTCTTCTATACCCACATTCAATTAGTCTATAGTGATCTCATTTCACTTTCGAAATAATATTATATGATATCAAATAATACCTTTTATTTCAACATCACCCAATTCTTTAAAAATGTTAGGCTTTAGCTCTCTGCAATTTGTACCTCTTCTTGATAAAGGAAAATTGGCTTGTTATTACGGTCAAAAATGATTTCTAACCTGCGGTCGTTGCTGTGAGACGAAATCCTAAACGTTTGTTGTCGTAAAGCCAGCAATTCCCTGCTCCTCCGCAAGTTTTGCCTGCGACTAAACATGCACTATCTACGGAGAAAGAGCGAATTATGAAAAATATTTAGGTAATGGAAAAATATTTAGGTAATGGAAAAAAAAAACGATAAAAGCAAATAATGAGCCGTCTAATTCATCTTCATATCCTTGAAATACTCATGTTTCAAATATATAAAAGTGAAACTGTTACTCTCACTGACTTTACTTCGTTGATCTCGAGAATGATATTATTTTACGTATTTCGTCCGCTTTGGTTTCTTATACGGCTTCGGCCGCGTCAGATAATTTAAATTGAATAAAATTAAAAAATGCAGCGCTTTGATGACTAATACCTCAGTTCGGTGAATCCAAGCAGTACACATTGCAATAAATTGCATCTGTATGTACCAGGATTTTCCCTGCATACATAAGTGTTTTTACAGATGAGCCGGGAGTTATACTGCCGTGCTAAGGAAAAGCGCCGTATGAACCTTCAGGCGTTACCAAATTGCCATTTATAAAGCACGAATTTCTTGGTAAACTAATGAATTCTTTTCTTCCAATTTTTCAGATAATGTTGCTCGCAATTTCACCTAAAGTTCCCGAAAATTACAAGGAAAAAATATCTATAACTTTCCTCAAAAATAAACATTTCATCGAAGGAAATTTGGCAACTCTCGAATGTTCATACGGCGTTCTTCCTTAGCAAGGCAGTATAGTCCCGAATTGCAAAATGTAGTCCAATTATTGCCAGTGCATCAGCGTGTTGTGTATGTTGCCTGTCTACTGATTGAAGGGGCACCGCTTATATGAGGTTTTTCGTCGCACTGGGCACTGCATTGCCCATCGACATTCGACGGTGAAACTACCACACCACGTATCTCGGTTTGCGACGTCGTAACTCCCTGTCATACTTCGTTTTTTAAATGGGAAACCTCTCAACGTCAATCCTTGAAAACTTCCTTGTTTTTTTTCTGTGTGTGCGAGGAAAACTCAGCGAAAATTCTAAGAAATAATATTGACTTGCTCTCCTTCAAAAAAAAATAAAACGGAAGCAGAGATTTTTAAACGCCGCAAACGAGCCTGATAGTTTCACCGGCGCTATCGGTCTGACACTTATGCTTAAAATCGGCATTTATTGATCAAATGACGAAAAAATATTGCAATTTTATGGTAAAAACAACTCAATTTTAATGCAATAAATCGCACTTTTATTTATCGTTTGTCATATAAATGTTGTTATATATTGTTTGCAATGAAAATATTGTTATTAATATTTTCATTACACTGTGCTACTTGGGAATTTGTGGTGGAATGATCGCGATTGAAAGTTATTACGTTTCATGAACCCGTTAGTAACGTTATTTCAGAATATCTCAAAGGCAGCATATAGCATCACTGTTGTGCTTGGCGAAAACCTCGATAGAATCGCACCCAAGAGAATCTGGATATCGATCGAAAAAAAGTACTTATTTTCCATCGTGACTTTTTTCGACTTCAACCATCACCATCAGTATGCAACCTTGTCGGCCTGCAATTTTAGTTTTCACTAAATGATTTTTGCACAGGTAACTTTTTCTCAAGGATCTTTTTTTTTCTTTTAAGTTATATCTCATGTAAAACTTATACTTAGCTAACTCTTCAGAGTGAACTTGTGGAACATACCAAGGAGTTTTCCATAAACGATCGGTCCAGGAATGTAACCAAAGAGAGCACTCAGAGTTATCAACAATCCCATGAAAATGCTTTTATCTTGCTTCTCTACACTCCTATGGAAAGAAGAGTATCCATTTAAAACAATTAGTTCAATAAACTTGACTCTCCGAATTCCAAAAATAACTTAAAAATGGACTGAACATCAATGGAAAACCACTGAGAATCTATCAATCAATCATGAGCTGACCGTAAATTACGTAACAAATTTGGGATGAATCACATCGTGAGCTATACCATACGGTTTGCCTTTTAAGGTAGGTTCTAGGGAGTTTTGAGGACTGGATAAGGCATTCGATTATCAAATCCTAAACGGCTCTCTCGCCAGCATTGAAATGATCCGCAAACGAGAGACGCGGATGCGTGGACGGCTCAAAGAGCAGCATTTTGATTGGACCGCGCTGCACTCGCTGGATGCTGATTGGATGGTGATGATGGCATCACACAGCAGCGCCGCGCCGTGGCGCTGTCCAATTAGAATTCTGCCCTTAGAGCCATTCACGTCTGTTAAAATAGTCCGGTTATGCGGACGGCCCAGAGGACAGCATTCTGATTGGACGGTGGGCGCTGCAGCACTCGATGCTGATTGGCTGGTGGTGATGGCATCATAGATGTGTACTTATAAGCTCTGCTAAGATAGCGAAAAGAGCATTAAGTGCGAACATGGAGTTTTGAGGAAACGGGCCCAGAAGCGTCGGACAGGAAAATTTTGTTGAAAGACGCCTCCGTTATTCTTTGGCAAATTGCCAATAATCAGTCTCTTAGAAAGACTCTTAGAAATCGTTTAGATGGTTAAAAATAGATCGATGTGATTTAAATTACGTAAAAAGGGTTATTTTTCAATTTCATGCTAGGCTATTTTTAGGCAAGACAGCCGTAAAGGCTGTCTTCTGCATGCTTGCGAGGTTGCGTTTTGGACACGCAACAAACACATTTTCAGGTCAGACATTGGCAGAACGGGGCGGCACTTTACTTGAAAGCATGTTTTCATCGGCTCTCTAGAAAATTAATGTTACTTACTTCTATCTTGCCTAAAATTGCGTCATTTTTGCGCACATATGACTTTTTCGTATGTCTCGATTTTATACAATTAAGATGAATTTTGCTGTTTTAGCTATTTCAGTGATTTTATCTACAAGAGATCATACGAATTTTGAAGGACACTCGATTTCGAGAATTTGACACTTACTCGTCTCTTCGCTATCACGGCAGAGCTGTTGTAAAAATGAAACAAACCTGACTGATATTAGGAAACTGGAAACTTTAGAGGTTCCATACGCAAATTTTATGAGGCCGAAAATTGCGAGAAAGGCATAGATATTAGACTGACAGTTAACAGGACACATTCCCGTTCGAACAGAAAACTTGTCTGGGAGTTGTTCCACTTTATTCAGTGACATGAATCCGGATTTGACTGAATTTGAATGACAAGTACAATCTGAGAACTAAAACATAGCGACAAGTAAAATAATAATGATTCCTATACCAAGAGCGTTCTACGTATCCTAAGTTCACTTCTTGATCCGTAATTTTTATTAAGGATTTACTGATATTGTTAGAGTGGAAATCAAAACCGCAAAACAATCGGACGAATACAGGTTAGAGGTAATTTCGTTAATATGAATCACATAAAAAAGAATCACATCACACGCTATTCCTTTGTTTATACCTATCATTTTGATTTGAAACGTGTCTACTTAGTTTTTTTTGGTGTACCTAAAATGCGTCCTATTTGACAACAAAATGCGCAAATTATGAAGGGACCTTTCAGGAAAATTTCTTTGTACACGGCCATTCCTCTTAGCCATTTCTCTGCTGAAGACTTTCCCTTAAAAATTTCAGTGGCGAGGCGTGAATGATCGATTATCGATATTTCCCTATTTGAAACTATGGTAAAGAGTCGATTATTACGGTGTTCGTTTCGAATAGCACTGAATTAAAAATCACAGATCAAAGCCATATTCTTTCAACAACGAATGAAAGTATTAATAGTCTTACCTTCTCGTTGGAAGATTCGGCATTTTTGCAACCAGCGTGACAAGGTGAGATGTATGAGTTGCCCGTGATGGCATGGCAGACAGGGTAAAATTCCACGTAATCGCAATGACATCCAGCATTACAAGAGGTGGTAAAATTCGCGCTGTTCCGAAAAAAAGCGGAAAATTAGTTACCTCCAATCGGAGGCTGAAAAATGGATTTCATAAATGAGGAAAAGTCAGGAGCCACTGGCTCTGTACCCATGCAGCACTTTTTAACGGAAAAATTGCGATATTTTGGGATCGAGTCGCGATTTTTATAAGATTTTTTGGCGATAGAATCGCTTGGATCATCAAAATCTGAGCAATCATCCTCGATCTGGTCGCAATTTTATCTCAATAAAATCGCGTTTGATAAAATCGAAATTTTACTTCAATTTATCACGGTTTTTTGTTCGATAATATTGCGATAAATTGCCGTCGATGAAATCGCGATTTTATTCCAAATTTACGTGATGAAATCGCAATTTATCGCAATGTTTTATCCGATATCATTGCAATCAATCGACATCGATAAAATCGCAACTTATCGCGATCACTGCTACTAGGGTATTAAGCTCTCATCAGCCTTAACTGGCTCTTATCTAGTATACTGCGAGTATGACTGATAGTCATTTTGATTCGTGGATATGCCGTTAAAAGTACTTACATGTCTTCTGTACCAGCTTTCAGACTAATTTCATTTTCCGGACATCCTATGAACAGTAAACTGAGTATTCCACCGAGGATAATGAAATAGGAGACAGCATTCCACGCAGATAGCAATCTTACTCGGGGCTTAAACTTTGAAATAATGAACCCGCTCAGTAGCAGAGCAGGCGCGCAGAACGTAAGACCAACATTACCTATAGGCATCGGAAAGAATCCCAAATATTAAATTCTTAATTTAACCAAAAGGTTATCCCTACTGATAGAAAATTTTTTGCTACCTACGTTGAAATCATGTAATAACATTAGCGAGACGATGAGGAAATGGAAAAATGTTTGATTATTGTTAAGTGTGTGCCATATTAGTCCGATGTTCAATCTTCTTGTGTCATTCCAGAAATGATACCACTGCGTTCTCATAGCAATTCATTCTTTTTACATGTGCGCTGTGCACAATTTCTCCGGTATAAAACCGAAATTACCTTGCATTGCATGTTTATCTATCTACACGGAAAAAAATAGGGTAGTCGACACAACCAGCGGCTAGTTAAAAATGCGTCAGCTACCGTGCGGTAGTTATCGTAACTACCTCACGGCAGCTGGCGCATTTTTAACTAGCCGCTGGTTGTATCGACTACCTTATTTTTCTCCGTGTATACCGGGGGAAAATGTTCTTGATTTTGAACACGGAACTTTTGTCGTTTATGTGGCCGAAGTTCGGGTTTGCACGGCTGAAACCCTGATTCCTCTGGTTAGGAAAAGTTCGGTATTCAATATGAACCGAAGCTCACTGTCTTTCATCGAAATATTTTTTTAAGTGTATGAAATCTATATTACAACGAAGTATGGTATCAATCCGTGGTTACCTATCAAAACTACATGCAGAAAGACTGTAAAAAGCGGCCAGGGTTTCCTTAAATGGAAATTAAGAGCCAAGAGCTCAATCTGAAGATGTTAAGCTCAGTGGCGCGGCGTGAATTGCGATGTATCGATTGTTGTGCAATTTAAAACTATGGTAAAGAATCGATTATTTAGGTGTTTGCTGCGAACACCCTGTTTATTGATCATTTTCCATAGGTTTAAATGGCATAACAGTCGATAAATCGCAATTCACGCCACGGCACTGGTTATCTGTGTGTAGCTGCAAATTATGTGCAAATTTATTTCAAAGATTCAATCATTTAGGATTAAGCTCAGTAAATGAGTTTATAATTTTCACGACGTACCTACGTATGTAGCTGCGGTAGAGCTTGGTATACTAAAAATATTCCTCATGTATTTCGGTAGGTAGTAGATGTATGAATGGTACCCGAAGACAAAGAATATATTTGCTAAGTAATAGTAGACGACAATAGGTCGCTTTAACAACCTTTTATAAGTGGAGATCAAACCTGAAATGATAAATAAACATTTTATTTCAAACATACTATGAAAACAATAAGTGCATTCTGGTGAAACAACTTTGATTTTAATTAGTACTTTTGTGAAAAACGAATAGCTTTCTCATAAATGAATGACGATCGCACTTAACGCAACAAGAGCAATAGTTCAGGCAGGATTAATTATGTTTGATGGGAAGGGAAAAAAGTTCCTTCCACCCTTGTGCCAAATATCAAATTTCAAAATTTGGTGAATTAATTTAAATAAGGCCGTAATGATTTATGTTACATGAAAATAAATATTACAACTTTTCCTCATCTACTTTCAATTTTAAAATGTCTGTTTTTCCTTTCACTGTAAAATTTCGTCGAAGTTGTGGTCAATATTGTAGCGAACAGTGCATCACGAATGCTTGAAAATCAAGTTTGATGTGCTTGAAGTTTTCAATTTATAAAATGAAGTATGACAGAAAGTCTGCGACGTCGCAAACCGAGATACGTGGTTGCGGTCTTACACCATCGATGAGGTCTCTTTATCAAATGAAAAGTACCTATGTTCATGTATACCTTTAATTGATGTATTCTTATTTGTAGATGCCGCAAAATTCTCTCTCCTTGTGAGAGCGTAATGCCTTCTCTCCGCAGCCCTGGGCAATTTTTTCGGGAAAAGACTTAAAAGGCACCCTACGATGACAGTCATGGTTCCGATGACCAACCAACCTATTACGAGAAGGAAAAAACATCGATAAGTTAATTGGACGTATTTCTGCCAAACGGAACTATGTGCAATATGACGTGAGCTCTATTATGCATATATTCTTAAGGGTCTCGGGGCTCATGTCTTAATGCACATGATTCCGTTTGTCAGAAATAAGTCCAATTGATCCGATAAAGTTCGAACAATATATCGATGGTGAAACAGTAAAAATTATAACTCGTTCGCGATGCTCCGATAGCTCGGCTCCTTTTTTCCTTTTTTATTTTTTAGAAGGAAACCTCGAGTTGACAACATCATGGCTAGAATTTTCGCAGAAAATCTTTTTTGAAGAGAAAAATACCACTAAAATTTTCAAACAGATGACGTTTGATAGTTTTTCGGGTAGAATTTAAAGTATGTGAGGAAGTCTGCAACACTGCGAACCGAGATACGCATTTTTGTCGTTTTACAATCATACACATATTTGATGTGTTGAAGTTCAAAACTGAAAGGCGTTAAATCGCAAATTAACGGTAAAAAACTAGTTTTACGAGAAGCAGTTAGTGTATGTAGAAGTTTCTTAAGTTTTGTGAACGTTTTTCCTACTATGAAGGAGTGGCTACGATTTTACTCTTTTTTTTTATTATAATGGCATCGAAACTTGTTTCCGTTAATTTCATTTGAATACACTCGCACGCTATTAGCAGTAGGGTATTACCAAATAGGGTTGGTTAATTTTTAAAGTGCTAAAGGGTCTTCTTTGTCTTTTGATTTTATTTAAGATTTTTCACTTAAATACCAATTTTTACTATTTTAGTTTAATAATATTCATAATGGTATATAAATACATATGGTACATAATGTTACCTTAAATAGATAATTTTGAATAACATATTCTTAAAAAAATATGTCATTAATTCCACTTTTGCAGGTCATTAAGTCCTATCACTCACTTTAGCGTTGTAAGGATGGATTTTAAAAAAATTCTCACATTTTAATTACTCTCTGAATTAATGTAAAATATTCAGCAGAGAAATCCATAAAAGACAGAGAAAACCGGGAAAATTCATAGAAAAAGGACTTTACTCACCCATCCACCAGGCTCCGAGCCATTTTGGGTCTGTTGGGCTTAACCTTGTTTCTTTGTATGGAGTGACATATCTTTTTAGGCAGTAACCTGAGAGTTGAAAACTAAGAAATGGACTAATTTCGCTGAGTAAATAGCTCAGACCTGAAAAAAGACCCATGGAAGTTAATAAATATAGCTGCTTAAGCTCTCTGATATTATCATTGTATAGAAAGGATCCCTAAAAAATGAGAGCATAAATTATGGAACTATTTTAGAAAAGAAATCTATTCAACAATTGGAGGCATTTTAAAATTAAACTAATAATTTTGTGCGATTACTGGATTTTGACTAAATAAGATACATGATCATGTAAAATTTGCAAAATAAATACGGTCTGTTTTCCCACATTCAAATTAAGTGCTGAAGGCAGTTAGCAGCGTCACGAGTAGAACTAGTTCCATAAGATAAGTTCCATCAGAGTTTCGCGCGTTCATGACGGCGCAGAGATGCAACTATTTGTGCTGGATGGATGTTTGTGCTGCATCTGCAAACTTGAAGGCGCTATGGCGCGAGGCGTGATTTTGTCATGCTCCGCTATATGCGCTCAATGAGCTGTCGCTCAAAGTCGGGAGAAAAGTTAAACAACGAGAGCCAATTACATCTCTTTTATCTTCGGCTGTCTTGCACACGTGTAGCCCATAAAGCATCCGTATATAATTAAGACAGACGGAACCAGTACAACATGTAAATAAAGCAAGGGAAAGAAAGTGCATTAGTGACGGCAAAGAGAAACAATTATTCGTGCTCAGGCTCGCCACAAGGGTGGGGATACTGGGTCCCTGGTGCCAGGGCCCGGGCCCCCGAAGGGCGCTTACTTGCCCTGACACACCACTTCGAATTCGCATGTTACCCCTGTCTTGTGAGGAAAGGTAACAAAATTAACAAACCTGTTTGATTTCAACGTCCAGCATAAATTTATGTCATATATAATAGCCATATATATTCTAGGAAGGAAAAAAAAAACTCAGATTCAAAACCATGACTAATGACTTAAGCAATTATTCATTACCACTTATTTGGTTGATTTAATATTTGCATTTTTGCTTACAAGGAAGACAAGAGACTCTGAGAGCTTTATGAGGAAAATGGCAAGATTATTTTCTTATCTTCGTGAAGGGAAAAAATAATTTAAAATTTTAAAACAGTTTATATACTCAATCGCAGGTTACATTTTCCGACTCAGAAAATAAATATAATATTTATTTCTTCAATATTTCCCACGTCGTGAAAAATTATGAAATATTCCATCGAAATTTTATCCGTCCTAGACTCGAAATATATTAATCACAACACCTCTTCAGAATGTGACCTCTTCAGACCTCTTCAGAATGTGTTTTGCCTTACTCATCATCCCTGCTGTCTTAGTTTGTTTGGTGTTATCGTCCAAATACGCTGGGCCGACGGTTTTGAACAAAGACGCCCCCACACCAGCCGAAAGTTGCGCTGCAAACATAATAACTTGCGGCCCAAAAGAGCTCTCCACCATAGAGCATGAACCGGTTCGGCTTTGACAAACCTTTGAGTCCCGATCTTCCGCTGAAAATTAATGATGGATACAATAATAAATTATAGTCAACTTTTGTGAATAAAAAAGTTAAAAATTAAAAAATCAGCTTTTACAAATGCTTTAGAGTTAATCGGTCGTTTTAAAATGTCTGTGTCTGTTTAAATGTGTTTTAAAGTGTCGTTTTTAAATGTCGTTTTAAATGTTTTGGAGGGGGGGGGGTCAAATCAGCTTGAAGTTGGCTCCTACTAGACTGATCTAGTCGTTATATCATTCGATGTACAACACTTTTCGATGTCTGTGTCAAAGCGGACACATAATGACCCCCA